GATAGTAGACTCCAGTTATAAGATTATAAATTAAATTTCCAAGAGAAAGTCGGTTCTTTACATATTTTCTAATTACCTTCGAAAATATATTAACTCAAAAAAAAAATAAACAATGCTTCATAGATCGATTTTTTTAAATCTAACTTCATAAAGTTCTTTAAAAATATTTTGTAAATGAGGCCATAAGAGCTTAGGGGGAGAGTTACAACACAAAAATACATTTAAGGCGCAGCGAAGCACGCCGGGTAATTGCTAGTTACGTAATAAATTTTTTGAAAAATTACAGGCTTGAAATGTGAAGAATTATGAGTCGATAGAACCTAGCAGAAGCTATAGTCGACAGAAGAAAAAGTTACACAATTTTTTTTTTTTACCAAATCACTTGGCACACGTATATAGGACTACAAACTACCAGAATATGGTATTAAAAACAAAAACTGAGACTGAGGTGGCCCACTTCAGGAATTCTTACCCATATGGTGTTCATTAGGCTGAATCACGAGTTTTGTTTGTGGTATAAATTTTATTTTTGGTATTTTGGATTTTAATATTTTTTTCTTTTTTTTTAACCTTTTGGCAGTAGGAATTCAAGGAGGATTTTGTGTTAACGATTCGTGGCGGCGTGGCAACGAACGATCGGAGGGTAACAATTTTTTTTTTTTTTTATATACGTACGAAACGGTAGTATTCCGAGGAGAACCGTAAGTCTGTCCATATTTGGCGAAATTTTGAGAACGTTTTTTTAATTCGCGCGTTTTTTTAATTGACGTTGCTTCTGTAAAACGTGGTTCAAGAGCTTTATGTTCTTTTTCTTGCTCTTTTTCGGTGCAAAAGCTAAAAGAAACCTTCTAAAAAGCATTAATCGCCCAGTCATTTTAGCTGTTAAAATTTGATCATTCAAAGGTCGCTGCAAACTGGCACGCTGAGCATTTCTTTTAACTGAAGCACCGATTCCATCGCAAGCACATTTTCCATGTGCCGTTGCATGAAAATTCCATTCAATTTCAATTTTGTGTTTTTCATGAAGTGAAGATAGTTTAAAAAATTATACTTATTCTTATACTGCGTTGCTGCACCATCGGAGAAAAATATAAGTTTTTTAACATTTTTCTTGCCATGAACATTAAACAAGTAGCTTAGCATTTTTTTGTTAAACAAATTCACTGCTACCGCATCGTGTTTTCTACTTTCTGATATTATTACAAAATTGTGACGCAAAAGCTTGTCATCATCTTTATAGTACACTACATACGGGTGAATAGTTACTTGGTCATTCGAGTAACAATGAATTCCCCACTCTGAAGATTGATTTTGATGTTATCTACATATTCCGCCTGTGCCTTTGCAATGTAATCATGCTTTAAAAGTGACGGTAACCCTTTTTGTAGTTCATCTAAAAATTCAGCTGATGTTTTGCTAAAACACTGAAGCTCACGTCTGCAATTAAGTGGATTACAATATAAAAAAAGTCTATATAGGCAAGCAAAAACATTTGTATAGTTATATGAGTCACACATTACCGATCAGTGCTAGTCCACGATTTGTAATCGACTTTTTCGATTTTATGAGCATCAAACAGATTTCTAAAGTCTTCAAAAACCGGCGTAATCCCGGGACACTCATCGCATTCAAAAAGGAAACAATTAGCTGTCGGATTTTGGCACACCATTTTTTGCAGACTTTTTCCCACTTCGAATTGAGATACAACTCCACTCTTCTTCAAACTATCGTTAACGCCGGCAAATTTCAAATTCATATTTTGATGTATGACATAATCGCATACATTGTGCGTTCCACTTTTCCCAACAGGAATACACCAAACAGGACGTAATTTAGTAAATGCTCATAAACTTATTTTGATATCAGGATGCTCTTTACAAAATTTATCATGCAGATCTTTGATATTATGCAACAACAACCGTTTTTGCTTATCTTCACTTTCCCCGTCATTTCTGATCACGGTTACATACTGTCTTTTTCCAGCCATAATTCGACATGAATTGTCTGACGTGTAACAATTTTCAACTGCAGCTAATACATCCACAGATAAGGCACGTCCCTTTTTTTTATGAGGAGTAGAAGCATATCCTCGTGATTTTTGCAACTTTTTTGCATTCCAAGCTGCACGTCGAGAAACTCCAAATATTCGGTGTATTTTCCTTACACCATAATCTTCAGGTAATGTTGTCAAAATTTTAATTTTTTCTGCTTTTGATGTTGCACTTGATATCGCAATTTTAACCTGCTCTGTCCAAGCAGCCAAGGTTGAAGTTTCGCCATTGGATAAATCTGAACTTTCATTCAGATCTGAAAAATAATCAACAAAACCATACAACAAAAATTCAATACTGGACTCAAATCATTTTACCATTATCGATTTTTCTTTTTATACACTCATTTTCACTTATATCATAATCGGAAGACAAACCGTCAGGTTCAGTGTCGGAATAGGAATCGCTTATATGAATTTCATCCTGTACAGCTTCTGCAGTAGGAATTTTTACACAACTTGGGGGTAAAGACGACGATAAAATCGCAAGTCTGCACGAGTCACATAAATACTTCCCAATAAAAGGGGAATACCCACTACTCCAATTAGCGTTGACGAGTTTCAGATTTTTTTTCACTGACTTATGCTTATTTTTTCGTAGAGGATTAAAACACACATTCGGGCCCGGCATTATAGCGATTCCTTGAATATACTATACTGTTTTATCATAATTTGTTATAAACAATTGAAAGTAATATGCAATAAATTACGTAATAAATTTTTTGAAAAATTACAGGCTTGAAATGTGAAGAATTATGAGTCGATGGCCGTTTGAAATTTCAAAATCGATAGAACCTAGCAAAAGTTATAGTCGACAGAAGAAAAAGTTACAAAAAACTTTGTTGCTCAATATTAACAACAACAAATTTTTTTTACCAAATCACTTGGCACACGTATATAGGACTATAAACTCTACCAGAATA